AGACTGTCACAGGTCGGCTCAGTAGATCGGGAAAGTGAGCGAACACATACGGGCGTTCGCTCACTTCTCGATCCTGTCACGGCTCTCTGCCGTGACAGGGGAGGGGCTGGATTCCCCTCTCCCCGCTCCGATCCGCCAGCGCTGACTGGCGGAACGGACGGGGGAGGGGGCGGGTACAGCTCTAGATAGGCAGAGCCAGCTGTCAGTCACGCAGCTGGGCGGATCCAGACATAATTGTCGGGATCCGATTCAGCTGCGGCGGTCTCAGTATACCGGAAGCTGTATCTCGCGGTATACTGAGCTTAGGGTGACGGGAGGACGCTAGTTTGTGTCCTCCCGTTACCCTAAGGAGAACTATGGGGAAAAGCCTTAACCCTGTAGTTCTCCCTTAATCATATTCATCAGAGAAAATGAGATTGCCTCGATGGGGGGGATCAGGACGGAATTTTCTTCCAGTTGCAAGCACATTGGGCCCTTGGCTTTATAAGGGGCAATTGCCTTCCTCTGGATCAGCTGGGGGTACAGGGTTCTTTCTATGGAGATTTTCCATTTATTTATTAATAAAAAGATGAATTTTTCTGTTGGTTGATCTCAAGGGCGTAACTTTAGATCATGGGGGCCCCATAGCAAAATTTTGATGGGGGCCCCTCAGCGACCTCCCTACTGTCAATGAAAGTCGGGTAGCAGGACAACTGTCTGCATTGTCTCCTCCTGTACATTTTATGTCAGCTCTTCTTGATGGGAAATGTCACAGGGAGGGTACAGGGTCAGTGCCAACAGCAACTTCTGCAATCTTTAATGGGGGCCCCCCTTCTACCCCCCAGGCCCCATAGCAGCTGCATGGGCTGCTATGGCTATTGTTACGCCACTGGTTGATCTCTTAACGCGATACTTTTTTGTTCATTTGCAAACTGTGAAAGTTGGGGAGGATTAAAAATAAATAAACAAATAACAGAAATAATAACTAAATAAATTATAAAATGCATTCAGATAATAATTAAAGGGGTGGGCTGTGGACAGAGGGGGGTGGGGGGGGGATCGAGTCGCAGAGGGGATAGTGATCATAAAAGTATCTCATTTAGGAAAATAAGATCCACATTGAGTCCGTAATCTGTCGTGATAAACAGAATCATCATTCTTAGTTCACACCTTGGTGCACTGATACAGAGGGGGCCACGTGACACCCAGGCAGCAAGCATTGTTAGCAATGGCAGCCTCCACGTTCCTCTCATGACAGGTCTTAATTTGTGTTAAAGTGGACCTAACTAAAACCCATACACTGGGTGAATGCCATTTTTTACAGCAATCCTGCCACTAGATGGAGCTGAGGAGCCTAGGAAATCCCTATGCTCCTCAGCTCCATCTAATGGCGGGAATGCTGTGAGAATGGCTGGGCGAATGCCACCAGTCACATGTCACTTTCACCACTGAATGTAGAGCATGGATTAAATTCCTATGCTCCTCAGCTCCGTCCAGTGGCAGGATTGCTGTGCAAATGGCATTCACCCAGGGTATGGCTGGGTGAATTCCATTAACACAGCATTCCCACCACTAGATGGAGCCGAGGAACAAAGGAAATGTCTGTGCTCCACAGCTCCATCTAGTGGCGGGATTGCCATGCCAATGACATCTCAATCCCAATGATTGCCATGCCAATGGCATAGGGGCTCCTTGGCTCCGTCTAGTGGCTGGAATGCTGTGTGAATAGCATTCACCTAGCATATGGCTGGATGAAAGATAGATCAAGCAGCCCCTTAGCCAGCTTTAGAAGGTGAACACCAAGGCACAACCAGGAAGCATTTCTAATGAGAAAATATGTCTGCCCTTTCATAGCATCTTTTTCAAATGATATATATATTGGGGAGAATTTACTCAAAGTGAAGCAGACAGAATCTGGAGCAGCTGGGCAAGTCAGGCAATCAGCTTCTATCTTCAGTTTGTTCAGTTAACCTTGGAAAATAAAAGCTGCCAGCTGATTGGCTGCTATGTACAGCTGCTCCAGATTCGGTCTCCTCCAGTCTTAGTGAATCCCCCCATATTGTGTTATATCCAGAGGCATCCCGAGGCCGGGTTTCACCCAGAGCGGAGACCGCGTGACACCCCGCCGTAACCTCATCGCGCATGCGCGTCATGTCACCACACGCGCGATGACGTCATTGTGCATGCGCGTTCTTCTAATTGATGCCTGCTGGTTGCCATCTTAGTGATGGGCGCCGGCAGAGAGAGGAAGGGACGTTCCCCCGGCGGGATGAGGTATGCCGCCGGGTCCTCTCTCCTGACACTGCCGGGCTCTCTGTCCATGACCAAGTGCCCAACTTTTTAGAGGGGGTGACACTGAATTAATGTCAGTCATGCGGGTCACACCCCCCTTGTGACGCCATTGGTGTTATCATATGTCCATTTTTATAAAAATGATACTTAGTGAAATCTTCTAATTATTTTCTCCGTCGTCTTCATTCAGCGACAATTGTAAACAATGAACCGCCAACCCCGCGCGCCCGTTCTCATCTCCCGGGTGAATGTCAGATTAATGAGACCGATCTGTCCTGATCTGGAATAGCGATAAGCAATTATCCGTGTATCAGTACAGCCGCAGCTTCCGCTGACCTTCACGACTCAGCGACAAGATCCGCAATTCGCCGCATACATTAATCTGCCTCCTAATTAATCAGACGGAAGAGCTGCAGCAAGCTTGTCACTCCCGCCGCGATTGATAATCAGCCCATTAATGAGAACATTCGATGGATACAAAGTTATATTGTCATCGCCGGCTACAAACGTGATTAGTTTGTGCGCCGCTAACAGGCGGACGCCATTTATGACGAGCGACAAAGCAAGCGGAACTTGGCAGTAATCGGCGAGGAATGATAACGATGCGGGATTGATGAGAAGATACGGAGGACGGGATATCGGAAATTATATAAAATAGGAGAGTTTACAGGAGGGGAAATTACATAACTCTGTGGTTAGTTACAATGTAGCAACGTAGCAATTGTTACAATGTAGCTACATTTACTATGGTCGCTGCCATGTTGAATCCTTCCCTTCAACGTCCATGGTTAGACCATACACTATACAATATGAAGGCATTGTCAGGGGGAGTACTGTGATCTCTCTGAGAGGTAATAAATACCTGGAAGGGTTACATTTACTCATCTGATGAGATCTACTTTTACTACTAAAGAAAGATCCAATGACAGGTCCACTTGAAAGCAGTGTTTCAGTCTATTTTGTATGGTCCTGGTTTGGATTCCCTCGGGTACTCTTAAGTTGTGTACATTTATATACACACTATATTACCAAAAGTATTGGGACACCCATCCAAATAATTGGATTCAGGTGTTTTCCGTGAAATTCCTTGCTAGTAAATATTCCGCGGTCACCTGTTACTGGGATTATAACAAAGTGGAAGCAACTGGGAACAACAGCAACACAGGAAGTGGTAGGCCACGTCACATGACAGAGCGGGGTCAGCGCATGCTGAAGCGCACAGTGCGCAGAAGTCGCCAACTGTCTGCAGAGTCAATAGCTACAGACCTCCAAACTTCGTGTGGCCTTCAGATTGGCACAACAACAGAGAGCTTCATGGAATGGGTTTCAATGGCCGAGCAGCTGAATCCAAGCCTTACATCACCAAGTGCAATGCAAAGCGTGGGATGCCGTGGTGTAAAGCACGCCGCCACTGGACTCTAGAGAAGTGGAGGCGTGTTCTCTGGAGTGGCCAATTCTTCTCTGTCTGGCAATCCGATGGACGTGTCTGGGTTTGGCGGTTGCCAGGAGAACGGTACTTGCCTGACTGCATTGTGCCAAGTGTAAAGTTTGGCGGAAGTGGGGATTTATGGGGGTGTGGGGGTTGTTCTCCAGGGGCTGGGATTGGCCCCTTAGTTCCAGTGAAGGGAACTCTTAAGTCATCAGCAAACCAAGACATTTCGGACAATTTCATGCTCCCAACTTTGTGGGAGGAGTTTGGTGACGGCCCATACCTGTTCCAACATGACTGCGCACCAGTGCACAAAGCAAGGCCCATGAAGACATGGATGGGGGAGTTTGGGGGGGAGGAACATGACTGGCTGGACAGAGTCCTGACCTCAACCCCATAGAACACCTTTGGGATGAATTAGAGCGGAGACTGCGAGCCCGGCCTTCTCCCCCAACATCTGTACCTGACCACACAAATGATCCAACATTCCCATAGACACACTCCTAAACCTTGTGGACGCCTTCCCAGAAGAGTTGAAGCTGTTATGGCGGCAAAGGGCGGAGCCAACCAAATACTGAACCCTACGGACTAAGCCTGGGATGCCATTAGAGTTCATGTGCGTGTAAAGGCCGGCGTCCCAATACTTTTATTAATATAGTGTATATATTTGGTACTCGGTCCACTTTAAACTATGGCAATAAGTTCTGACTGTTTTAAGCACCCCCGGCAGTGTGTTAGTTTGTCCCAGTCCCCTATCACCGTCACTTTTGCTGGACAGCTTGGCCTGCACGTGAATGTGGATTAAAAATAAAGACGAGTGAAATAAAATGAGGATTTACTAAGTGTTATCATATACAGTCCCCAGAATACAATACTCATTTGAGTTGGGGGGAGGCGGAAGCTTATGTTAAGATTGCAGTCAGTCCACTTACCTGGCTTCCATCGTGCACCAACCACAATAGGCATCGGCGGCTTCTAGACACTCCGCGCACGTTTGGAACTTGTCGCAATCCGCCACTTTTACTTTCACCATCTGGACAGAAATATGAACAATGTTTATGACTAGTTTAAAGGGTAAGTCCACTTTCCCAAATCCACTTGGAAAAGTGGAATTACCCTTCAAATGACAGTATGAAGTCAGTCATGATGCGTCACTGTAGCGGGTGGTAAGCTGTGACTGCCGATCACATACCTGATGTGTGGTCATGACGTAGAGGTAGGTGGGATTCACGGGATCGAAGCGCATGATGTGGTGGACCGGCTCCCCTCTCGCTATCAGAAGGGACTGACGGCTCGCAATTTTCATGTCGACATCCAGAGTTATCTGTCAGAACAAAGAGACACTGAAAAGATGTTTCCCTTTCCGGAGCCTTCCATCATCCCAGACCGGTATCACCTATAGAAGCCAGGATGAAGGAGACAACACATTTCTGAGCCCACAGTTCCTCAGACTCTGAGCCACTGCCCCCCCCCCCCCTGCTTGGACTATTGGTAAACATCAAACACTGTTGACACCCTCGCTGATCTCTCCCTTTTATATTGTCAACGCAGTGAGCCGTCTTTATTACAGGAGGGGGCGGAGACAAGACCAGTCACCCTGCACAAGGAGAGAGAGCAGCAGTGACCGGTCTTTATTACAGGAAGCTCTAAGTCTCACACTGGATTACTGCACATATCTGGAAGAAATACACAATGCTCAACCAGATTCAAGGAAGAATACACATGGCTGTAGTACGTCTTCAACGCGCATTGTTGAACGCGCACAGGCGTGAAATGGGTTAAACTGATGATGCAACACCAGCGTTTGACCACCAAGAAAATTCCAATAACCCCTCTACCAAATTTGTACCCCTCCCCCTCCTCTTCTCCCACTCGGAGCCCTCATTCATTATTCTCAGCCACTAACCTCGTCCCCATTCATCCCCGCTCCTGTCCCGTTGAGGAATACCAAGCGCAGGAGATCCCCCACACCCCCCACCATTCTCCGCCGCAGCTGCGAGCCGCCTCAATTACCATCTTCCATTTGCATGTGTCTGATTATGACACTTTTGGGTAGAATACGTACGCCGCTGGGGAGCGAGGTGTAAGATTAAATACGCCATGT